GGTAGTTAACCTTTAATGACTATTAACTTTGAATAGTGCCTCTTGATCACCCCTGATCGGATCGTAACCGTTGAAATCATTAGCAGTCAGCCTCACACCAAAAGTCAAAGTCGTCTCATGTGGATGTACGCGAAGTGCAAGCAAAGTGCGCCTCTAAAGCACCTCATTGCAGCATGCACGCGCATGCGCATGTGTTGTGCGGTAGCAAGCCTCCATACTCTACTCTTTATATTTCTAAGAATTGTGAATAAGCTCATACTTAAAAACTTAAAACAAGTTTAGTAACTTTCCAATGTGGGACAAGTTGAAAACTGATTTTAATAAGAAAAAACATTATTTTCCGAGATATGTGCACATGTTTGTTTCTTCATGTAATTGATCAATCAAACCCCCAATTGGATTTAATCTCTAATGAGATTAAAATACAACATTGGGCCATCCCCTAACCGCTTTTTGATGGTTGGGTTGTGTTAAGGATGAGACCTTGGGCTGAGTACAGACTTCAGATCCATCTAGGAACAAGAACAAGAACAACCCAATACTCATCCCTATATGGAGGTCAAATTGAGCTCAAAAGCATCATATAGCTTGTACGTTTTAGTGGATTCATTCAAGCCTAACCTTCCCTTTTTGCCTTGCCTATGGTTGTGTTTGGTTGCAAGGCAAATTTGTTTGCACTAGTACAAATGCATAAGAGTGCAAATGAATAAAATGCAAATTCTGGTTTAATTTTATTCTGTTTTAGGTCTTATGTTACTTCATTTGTATTGCAATCAAACAAAATAAGGTAAAATTTGAAGAAAAAATAAATCAGAATTTGCATCTAAATCATTTGCACTACCATAATTTTGCATCAATGCAAATAAATTTGCACTGCTTACGGGATTTGCAGACAAACCAGCTGAAATACTGAATTCAATCAAGCCTAACTTGCTCTCTAGTTATCTGATACATTGGTTCAATTAAAGGGAAGGGAATAATCTAAGGAGGCTTTCTAAAGTATCAAGAGAGCAGTCTTCTACAGCGCATTCCTAATGTGGCAAAGGCCACCAATATCACAGTTAGGATCTCCCACCCACAAGAACCCTACACACACATCAGTACAGTCGTACATTGAGAACATTTCATGTATTTACATGTTACCATTCATGGGGAGATGTTCACAATGTACAGCTGTAGTGTCTTGTGGATAGGTGTGGGTAGGATTCTTGTGGGCAGAAGATCTAAACTGCCAATATCAGGGGTCTTAACCCCTTGGGTGCTGTTTTTTGTGAAATTGTAAATAAACCGAGCTAGGTTCATTGAATAGCTCAGCCCACCTTTCGTCTAACTAACAAGCCTGAGCAGAATTTGGATGAATTCAGATTGCTTATTAGATGCTAGAGTCCATGTCTGTAGGGTTAGTCTTGGGTTGGTTCTTAATTCAGCCCAACCTGTCTAATTTTTACCCCTGCTTTATTAATAGAGTGGAAAAGAGAGATTTAAAGAGGAAAGAATGACACATTTAATAGGAAGAGGAGATGCCTTAAACATTGACTACGGAGGGGGGAGAGAGAGAGTATGTGTCTGGTGCATTTTACTATAGAAAATTAAGACCTAAGAGGGTTGTTATTGTGACTTATTTTAATTTTAATATTTTTACTTAGAAATAAATAACCACATATGTGAAAAATGAGAGGAGAAAGGAATCCATGTGAGCTCTATGGTGAGAGGACCCTTTATTTCGCTTTTTTCCTCTTTGTAATATAGATATAGATGAGGCTGACTGAATTGGGCAAAGCTTGGCTGATTTGTGCCCCGACAAAGTAATGGCAGATCTGGACCTATTGACTTGTTCGGCTAGACCAATGGGCTATAGACTTGGGTTAACCCCAAACCCTACTAAAGGTAGGATTCAATCACAAAATCTCCTCTACAAATACAAATGTACAACCAACCAAAGTCTTCATCGATAAGCCAGCCAATTACACACATATAACTTGAAACCCAATACGTTTAAGGATCCATTTGGTTCACAGTTGGAATCAAAATCAGAATCAGAATCAAAATCCTTTGGAATTGGAATCAAAATGTTCTATTTCCATAGTCTGTTTGGTTCAGACTGGAATGAAAATGAAAATTAGTCTTGCAAAATATTTCCATAGTCTTGTTTGTTTGGTTCTATTTCCATAATCAGAATGTTCTATTTCCATAGTCTTGCAAACTAAAATTTAAGAAACCTGGAGGAAAAGATTGGGCTTGATGGGCTATCCAATCAGCTGCCTGATTTGCCTCACGGTAGACATGCCGGTACTTCAAACCAATCTCAAACTGGGTCTTCAAGGCAATGCAGTCTTCAATGATGCTCCACGAAGGTTTAGATTTATTGTGCAGACACTTCATCAGGGCTTTCGGTCTGTTGAACATGAACAGTTTTTTTCTCCTCCCAACCCTGTGGGCTGTGGCTAGGGGTGTCAGACCGGTTTTGGGTTAAAACCATCCAAATCAAAATCAATTTGGAAGGATTGGATGAACCAATAAGACGCCGAATTGGGTCAATCCAAATTTAATGGCCCATAGTATTTTTTTGGATTGGATTGGACCAGTCCATTTATATTGAATTGGGTGCAGATTGAACAAATATTCATCCATTGATAGAATATAAAAATACAAATGTCAATGGATCAGGTTTGGGTTGGAACCAATTTGAACAGAATGAAAGGTCCAGACATTTAATTGGAGTGGTCCAAAATGTTCAGAATATTCATTAGACTGGATTGGACTTCGTCCATATGCAATGAACTCATATTCGACTGGTTGGATTGGATCAAATCCTGTCCAATAGGCACCCCTACGCTGTGGCAAGATTCAATCCCAAATCTCTGATACAACCAGCCTAAGTCTTTTGCCGACAAGCCTGCCAATTACTGGCGTACAACTTCAGACCCATATGTCCAATATTTTTTTTTCATGTCGGTGTGAATATGATTGGTCCCACCTAAATATCAATTTTATGAGACCAAATCAGCCCCCCACAACATCCCCGCCATGTATTGGAAACATCTCCCGATGATAATTCCAAAAATGATGATGTCATCATTGGAAGATGTTCCTAATACATGGCGGAGATGTATTGTGGGATGATGTGGGGGGCAATCTTGTGAGGGGTTGATTTAAACTCCAATTTTATTTATTAGTATAGGGAACATGTTATAGACATGTGTAAGGATAGGATAAACCTCGTACGATATGATATTTTTATTTAACTTTTACTACTTGTGGTATTACATCAAAACCAAAGTCAAGTATCTGCTTTATATAGTATAGATTAGAAATGGTAATTTTTTTCCGTTCTTGTGGAGTATCCGGCTTCCCAATATATGTATTTAGAATATTTTTATATTTTTAAAAATTCCCTTATTTTAAGTAAATATATTTTCTAAAATAATATTAATCTAAAAAATTAGGGATTCAAGTCTTCAACAAGGAACTCATCTCCGTCGAGGATCATAGATGGAGGGTCATTTTATCCCCAATGGGGATTGGAGTTGGGGACAGGAATTTGTTTCAAAGTTAGGGTTGTGGACAGGGAGTATGCCCTTGCCACAAATCAGTTATGTTGCTGAGTCGGGCCGTGTTCAGGTTGGGCTTTGTCTATGTATCAATAGAATACATTCAAGCCTGAGCCCAGCCCGGCCATCATTCCTAGGTCTTGAGCCCCTTGCCCGACCCTCATACAAAGCCCAGGCCCGAGCTTGGCCAAAATTTTGAAAACAGAAATTTTTTTCTTTTTTTATTCAATAAAAAAGTTTTTTATTTATATTAAAAACCTTCAAAACTCAAAAATAATAAACATTTCACCATTACTTAAAAAAAAAATACAAGAAGAACAAAGAAAAAATATTGTACATATTTTTTATTAAATAAAATATATTTTTATTATTTAATATATAATATCGTGTCGGACTCAGGCCGGGCTTTTTTGAGAAAGATCAACCCCGGCCCAAAAAAGTCAGATCCGGTGCTTTAGGCCTGAGACCAAACCCACAGGCCTAAAATTATGATCAAGCCCGACTTATAACAGGTCAGGCCGGGCTATTAGACTACTCGGCCCATGAATAGTTCTACTTGACATTCTTAACATAGACAAATAAAACAAAAAATGAAAGAAAATAAAAAAGAAAGGAAAGACTCCTCTTATTTTGTCTAATCAACCTTCTCTTTATCATTTGCTTATCAAAAGAAAATTTTGTTCTCTTTTATTTTTCTTTATAAGCTGAATTAATTCACTCTCTTTTAAGCTTCCATTTTTTTTGGCAATCAAATACAACATAGAAAGATATCAAAATGTATAAATTCTTTCTCTTCACAAATCCATCCTATATCAGCCACACGGAACATTGTACGGAGGACTCTTCCATACTGACAACTTAAAATTAAAAAAAAAAAAAAAAATCCACAAGTGTGGTGGATAAATGCAGTTGTAAAGCAGTAAGAAAGCAAATTCGTATGCTTAGCAATGGATTTTGTGCTTCTGATTTTCTGAATATGAACCAGAAGCTGTAAAGATATTAATGTTGTTGATTTTTCTATCTTTAGCCACCTCTTGAGTGGGATTCATCCAATGATAGGTCTCTATCTTCTGAATCCTTTATTCAGCAACTATGTCGGTGGGTGCCCCCTAAGCCCTAACCAAGCAAATAATCAAATATGAAGTAGAAATGTCCAAGTAGAGATGGATGCAGGTTGAGTCAGATCCAATAGCACAATCGTACTTAAATGCCACTGATCTGGTACATCATGTGAGACCCAGCTTACTGATTTTGACCACTTGGTGCATTTACAAACGTAATACAGGCATGCAGCAAATAAGGCACAAGGATGTTCATGCCAGCTGTATGATAAAAGGTCTGATCCAATCCAGGTGACTAGCATTTCTCAGCAGAAAAGACAGTAGATAACATGGAAGCAAACACTCTGACGAGTGGTTTCTGCATCAGAGTTCCAACCAGTTCCAATGGGTGCCATAGAATGTTAGCCAAATTATTGAAATCTTCCATTTCCGGACCCAGTTAAAAAATATGTTTACTTTGGCCACTCCTAAGTTTAGCAAGGCTCCAACTTCACTTTCCCTTCTATAAAAACCCATTTCCCTTTCTTTTTCTTCACATCCCTCCCTAGCCAGAATCAGAAGCAGCAGATCATCTTTGAATTTTCATATAGTTTCTAGTTTTAGTTTCTTGATCCAAAGGGAGGAAAGAAAAAAAGTTAGAACCCAGATGGGGAAATGAGTCAAATGACTGAGTAATCAGTTTCAGGATCATTGGAGACATATCAAGATTCTTAGAACTAGATTTCAGCTCTTTATCATATTTGGGTACCTCAAAATTCTGTTTCTGAGTCTTCTAGATTAGAAAGGAATTTGGGTTTCATCATTTTGATCAAAATCTTTGATATCTTTTTCCTTTTCTGCTACATATTTCAGAATAATCTGTTTTACAGAAGAGATCATTCATCATGTCTAGAATTTCCAGTCCTATCCTGTTTTTAATCTTCTTCATTTCTCTCTTCTTTTCATCCTCTGCCAGGTCCTGTCAATATACTTTTCCTAAAGGCCGAGTCTTCAAATCATGCATTACTCTTCCTGTTCTGAATTCTTTTCTTCACTGGACTTGCAACCCATCTGGAACAGTCAACATTGCCTACAGACACACAGGCATTGGTTCCTCTAGATGGGTTGCTTGGGCTATCAATCCTAGAGCCAGAGGCATGGTTGGATCACAGGCTTTTGTTGCTTACCAGCTTCCAAATGGAGCCATGCGTGTCTACGCAGCACCTGTGACTAGTTATACTACACAGTTGAAGCCGGGTGTTCTAAGCTTTGCAGTCTCAGATCTATCAGCCACCTATGCAAATAAGGAGATGATCATCTATGCTACTCTGAGACTACCCAGGAACATGACTGTTGTCAATCAGGTCTGGCAAGAAGGCCCCCTTTGGAGGAACACCCCAATCATGCATCCAACCTCTGGAGAAAACCTTGATTCTATGGGAATTGTGAATTTCCATTCTAGGTAGATGGCCATTACCAGTGCAGAGAAATCAAGAATTAGAAGATGGAATAAAAGCAAGTAAAGCAACCATTATGGGGCTTTCTTTTACATGTAGTCACTTTTGTTCTTCTTTTTTCCATTGTAGTTGATTGGCTCTTTCTATTGTTGCTTTCTGTTTCTGAAGGATCAGATGTAATAACAAGATTGAGCCATCTTTGTAAGACTAAAAATAGACAAGAGACATTCTAGAATAACACCTCTCTCTCTCTCTCTCTCTAAGATTTGGAATGAATCACTTTCCTAATTTTCCTAATCCTTTACTCTTGGAAAGCTCATGAAAAAAACTTAGAATAGATTACCGAATAGTGAAGAGCCAGAGATAGATGAAGTGTAATAACAAGATGTGAATGCAGAGGATTAACCCTTTTTGGGAAAATGACCTACAGAAGAAGACCAATAATCTTCCTAGAAATACCACTCAATCAATTTGTCTTCTGCAACTTAGAATCAAAAAATAGCATTTCCCCCATGGAAATGGTTAAATGATGTTCTCTAAAAGGAAGAAAATACGGAAGAAAACAGAAACATTTCCAAGGAACCATATCCAATGCAGCCTGAGTCTCTGATATCCACCCAAAAAAAATAGTATGGTGTCTTGGCCTCCTGGGTTGGAAACTTTAGTTGTGATCAGAACCATGTTAGACATAGGGCTAACTTGAGGTATGATTGAAAAGAGAGAACTTGTATTCTTGGTCCAAATTAAACAATTTCATTGCTCTCAACAGAGAACTTTTGAAGGCTGCATCTTCAAAAGCATGCCCAGAGGCCATAATTTAATGGGTACCGAGGCTTGGGCCATGTCTGATAACAGCTGACGTAAACTGTACGATTTATTATTTTGTTATTTAGTGAATAATAAAAAAATATTATAGTTAAAGTAAGCTACCCAACTTGAGCTTCAGCCATTAAAGAGCCAATAACATGCTTAAAATAATCTTACTCAAAAAAAAAAAAACAAAACAATAAGCTTTTCAGTTCAACTACTTCAGCCGTTATCAACAGCCCCTTGTTTTTCCCTCAACTGCTTATTCTTTGCTGTGCGGTTTTGGTTTGATCGTGTATAAATTGATCAAAATTCACCCAACCCGATTATATTTTATAAGTATTATATAGTATATAATATAATTATTTTAAATTTTTAATATGGGTTGTTCCATTTGCATATATTAATTTCGGTTTTATATATTTTTAAATCTAATATGTACATATATATACATTTTTTTAAAAATATCATACATACATAATAAATGTAACTAATCGCCCAAATGAACACTGTATTTGTAAGTACGTAAACAACATTTTCCATAAATAAAACAAATTCGGATCTCCTTTCCACAAGAACTCTGTCTATGTCTATCCATATAACAATACAGTTATACATAAAGAATATCTCATCCTTTTACATAGTATTGGATATCGGAGATGTTCTCAATACACGAAGATAGTATGTTGTGGGTAGACCTAAGCAGAGTTCTGATGGACAGGAAATCCTGACACATGTGAGTAGTACAAAACAAATGAAACCTTAAATTGTGACCATGTTTGAAATAAAAAATTAATTACTTATGTGATGCCTTCAATTTATTATTGAGGTCGCTGAATTGTTCTATGAATCCAAAGCCTAAAAATGTATCCCTAACTCAACCTGGTTACTTTAATGGGTTGGATCAGTCATGGTTTAACCCACACCAACTCACACCTCAATATCAACTTTATTAAACTCTTATATTCTTTTTCCCTAAGGTGGAGCCCAAAATACATCTCCTTAGAATTGATTGAAAATCCAAGAATTGCAGTTTAATGGGATTCCAAATCTGCTGCAAAAACACACATGTAAACTGGGCTGCATAAGGAATCATGAGTGAACATGCCAGTTATACACAACATTATAAAGTGGTTCTCAACATTTTCGTCAATAAAAAAAAAAAAAAATGAATAGATCCAAATTTTTGAAGTCAATCCTACAGCTGTGTGCACTGGAAATATATCTCTTCTTATTATTGACGGAGAAATGTTTCCAATTCATGGTTTTTTGCGTAGTAGATCCAAAGTGCCTTTAACCTACAAACATGATGGGACCCGTGAAAAAGCAGACCATGTGACAACATTGGTCATGTCTTTGCACAAGTTCCACATTGTTATACGGCCATGAAGATACAAAGTTGCATAAACTTGCTTTTTACTAGCATTCCACAAAATCATCTAATTTTGCTGCTTTTAAACCCAGTTCAAATCATCAAGCTGATTAGGTTTGGGGCGGGGGATGGGTTTGGGGATTCTACAATCCCTACTGGTACGGATACGGTATGGTATTATACTAAATTCAACTTTTGCTAACTTGCATATTGTTGGAAAGTATATAAGATTTATGTACTTACGTCTTAAATTTAATAATATTTTAAATTGTATGTAAAATTGAAAATTTTTGCTATTTGTTTGTATTATTTTATTTATTTATTGCTTATATATAAGAAGAAATAATAGGAAATTAGGCACGGGTTCTAAACCCAATCCGCCCCTACCCTTGAATGCGGAGAGGGTAGAGTCGGGGAGGGTTTTGCATTTTCATGTGCGTAGAGGGTTTGGATTCTCAAAATCCAACTTGCTACGGGTTTGGGGCAGGTACGAATTGGGGGCATAGGGAGGTGAGTAGAGTTTAGAATTTACAAAACCCACCCCGAACCGCCCCGTTGCCATCCCTATTTCTTGGGTAAAGAAAAACAGAAAGTAGGGCTACAAAGGGATAGGATCGAATTCAATAAAAGATATATTTGATCTGGTCTGTTAAGAAACCCAACAAATCTAAAGATAACTTTTTTGAGGGTATGACTTGAATTTGAATTCAAATATCTTATTAGATATCATATTCGAAGTAGTTCTTGAACTGAGGTTGTAGTCAGATAATTCTGCCAACTGGGTAGAGCCGAGGTGGAAGGACAAAGCCGTGCTCCAAGATCTGAAATCAAGAAAGCAGTCAAAGGCCTGAGGAGTTATCCCCGGGTAGGTACTCTGAAGCTCAAGTTAGTCAAGGAAAGTGGGTGGTCGGCCCGAGCAGTTAGAGAACGGTGCTGGTCTGAGCAAAGTAGCGGCATCGAAGTAGAAAGTCGGATCCCTTACCTTGAGCAGAATGTACCTTTTTATAGTTGAAGATCCGTGTCCTGGTCAGGTGAGGCTTCCAGGGTTGTCGGGATGAGGTTGCCTACCGAGGTCTTCAAGATAAGGCCTAATCCCCAACAAAGTTGTCCTCATCCATACGATGTTCTCCTATCTTGGTCGCGCTTATCCACATGATGTGGTGTTGACGTGATCGAGGTGATAAATCAGGCCACGGAGGTGACGTGGTGCTGATGTGGCTAAGGTGATAAGGCGAGCCACAGAGATGATGTGGTGATGATGTGACCAAGGTGATAAGGTGGTCACAAAGACAACACATGGCACTCGAGGCCAGATCAACCATAACCCAAACACCACACTCCCAGTTCCAAAGTCAATGAGTGTAGTGCTCGGCCGCGGTGTGGCGTGGAAGAGTTCTTCAGTTCTCAGATAAGGAACTCAAGTCTGAAGTAGGTTGAGCATGCCCTCTGAGCGGAGGACCTTGGGATTGAACCAGTTTCTGAGCAGACCGGCTGGTTTGACGCTCATGTCATGCTAACAGAAGAGACATTTTGCCTTCCCGAGGTTACATACACACGAAGGTCAGTGGCGTTGTTTCATCTTCCCGAGCTATCAAAGGGCGGCGTTTGATCCACGTCGTTGATCTTGCCTTGATTTGGATTGTTGAGAGTCCTATAAAAGGGGGGAAGAGCATTTCCCCTTTGTCATTTGCGAAGGAAAGCGCTTGCAAAGCTTGGAGAGAAGTAGTCTTTAGTTGCTCAGTGTTTGCTTCAGTTCCACGGTCCTAACTTTCAAAATTCGGTAAGATGTCTTCCTCATCCATGGACTTCTCCTGATCTTCTTCTTCTTCTTCTTCTTCTTCTCCTTCATTTTCTAGTTCTGAGTCCGAGCCGGGGTCTCTCACCGAGGCTGCCATGCTCAATGTTCTTGAGGTTGATGGCTAAGGGGCCGAGGCCGAAGACTTTAAGGCATTCAACCTTGTACGGGTCGCAGAGTGGGAGGCTGAGGCCAAGGGGTCAAGGCCAAGTTGTCAGTTAGGGAGGAAGCTACCCTTCCACCACGGGCTAGTTGCCAATTTGGGACCACGTTGTGTTGTCTAACGCCCGGGGATATGGCTCAAATCCAAGCTCTATACTGCATCCCTATAGAATATGAACTTAGGTGCCCGAGGACCGGTGAGAGGCCCACAGATACTCGTCTAAATGAGCTATATGTGTATGAGCACAGCCTGATGGTCGAGCTGAGGTTACCATTGCACAAGGGGATGGTTGAGGTGTTCAAGTGGTATCGGATACTACTAGTGTAGCTGACACCCAATTCGTTTAGGTTCCTAATCAGTCTCATGTCCTACAGTTTCATCCATGATGTCGAGCTTACCCTAGAGATGGTCACCTATTTCCTTCAACTGAAGCATCACCAGCAGGGGTACTACTACTACACGGCTAAGCAACGCATCAAGCACTAGAAGAAGTTCTTCTTTGTGCATTGTCCTAGAGGCTCACCTCTATCGGCCGAGCTCTAGAAGCCGAGGACTAATGTGAAGCAGCCCAAGCTAGCCTAGCTCACCTCGGAAGAAAGGGTGCCGATAGGGAGGATCGAGGAGGTCAATGTGATAGACTACACATCCTTCTCGAGTTTGATTAGAGTTGGGCTGATGAGTGAGGTAGTCAGTCTGTTTGTTGTGCCGACTTTCCATTCTGTTTTTCTTACCGAGTTGTGTGACTTGTACTGATTTGTTGTTTACTCTATGCAGGTGCTGAGATGGCAAGTCATGAAGAGATCATTCATCATATGAGGGTTGGACAAGACAGTCACAGCCGAAGTGCTCAAGGAGCCCATCCCTGGTCTGAGGTGGTACAGCCAAGGTCTACCGAATGGACTCCTCGACAATAGAAGAGGGCAAGACAAGTCGAGGAAAAGGTCATAGTGGTCAACCCATAGGAGGGCACTCAGGCCGTCCACCCCCTTCCTCATGGTAGAACATGCCAGAGGGCAACAGTCTGGCTATCCACGTGTCATAGTGGAACGTCCAAACTGGGGATGGAGGGCATTGTTGAGCAGCTTCTCCGCTGCCTTTTATTGCC